GAACAATACGTAGTTTTGAAAAACTCGGCAAAGAGATCGGCGATGGCCTGATCAGAGTTTGCTGTAGCGTTCTTGAACGAAAGCGATGAAGGATGTAAATTGGGTTTTCGCTTAGTATTAATAAAGTTATAAAACTGTTTCGGGTCCTGCGTGAACTGAACTCTACAACGAGTTAAATAACTTATATAACATTGCGCGTTAAGCACGGTGAAATTCGACCGAGCACTAAGATATCTTGAATGAACAGTAGGAGATCCGGTGCGTTTATAGCGATTATAAAGCCTAGACTTAACGTTTTTTAGGCGTGTCAGCTCTTTGGTGAACCAAGGTGGTTTACTAGAAACCGACGGATAGGCTAAAGGAACACACAATGCAAAGAACGAATTCATGGCACTGTAAAAAATATCCACGGCGGACGCCATGTCAGTGCACCTATAAAGTTCAGACCAATTGAATTCAGAAATCAAGATATCCATCCTTTGAAAGTTTGCTTTACGAAAGCAGCGAACTTTAGTGGCTGAGCGACTCAGATCAGGTTTGGTCTTTACGACAGTTCCCAAATCGATGGTCACTTCCAAAGTAGGGTGGTAAGGGTCTTCGGGAAGCGTCAATGGATCGACTCTTGTAAGGTTACACCTACAGGATCAGAAACGAAACACAGATCTAGTAAGCGATTTAAAGAATTTACGACATGGTTAACTTGGGACAACGAAATGTCAAGCAAACCATCTATGAGGTCATGCTGTGCCGCAGTTTGGAGGACATTAGACGTACCATCTGATGACCAACGAGCTCCAGGTATATTGAAGTCTCCTAAAGTTATTAGTTGGTCTCTATCGAAAGCATGTTGGAAACAGCCTGAATTGCCGAAAGATGTTTCCAATAAATAGGCTCTTCAGCAGATGGAGGAACGTAAGAACAAGTTATATAGATAAAACTAGCTGGAAATGATAGTTTTACACAGATAAATTCAATACCTGTGAGATCGTCAATTTGAACCAGTTCGGAAATAAGGGTGGAGTCAACGGCAATTAAAACTCCACCACCTCGCTGGGAAAGACGGTCCAATCTATAAGTTGAAAAATTTCGGAGCTGAGAATCTCCGGCTTTAACCAGGTTTCGGTAAACACAATCACCTGGGATGCAAACGAAAAACTATCAGAATATAATTTAGAGAGCTTGCTGCGTAAGCCTCTAGTATTCTGATAGGAAAGTAGGAGGGAGGTATTTAGTTTTTTGGCACTGCCGTGACGCCCGCAGTCACTGTGGTTTGTGCCGGCCGTGAAGGCCGTTTTTTTCTTTATCTTTACCTCGTACTCCTTGACTACAGCGTGCTCGGGCCAGAAGTCACCAGAACAAATTGTGTCAAAAAGATCGAAGGAGACACTTATCTTGAAAGATGAGATATCTCTGGGGTATGAGAAATTGAATTTTTCCGCTTTCACATTTTTGGCTTGTGTTTTGCTCCGTATATGAGCTAGTACATCTTCCGATGCGAGATCAGGGGCAAGCCGAGAGACAAATATTGTTTTTAATGGTGGAATAGCGGAGAGGGTCTTTGGTAACGCAGCATTACCGACTTCTCCTAGTGGTTCAGCCCTATTTTTGCCCTTTGGGATAGCTGAGATTTTTTTTGAAGTCTGCGGAGTCAGAGATTGAGACCCCGCAGCGGACTCAACTGTTAACACTGGCGGAGCAGCTGCCATTTCTGCCCCGGTACCTTCGAATGCCGAATCTTTAGCCGATCCCGATCTCAACACCATTGGAGTTGGTGTCGGTGTCGGGGGCTGTGCCGAGGGAGTGTGTCAAATCTTTGGTGGCTGGGGTTCGCCCAATTGCAGCCGACCAGCAGCAGATTTTTTGCGCTTTGGCGACTCGCTTAACAGCTTCATGCCGCTAAATTGAGCGTCCAGCGCTGTGAACAGGTCGTTTGTTTTGCAAAAATTGACCCTAAGTTCACTAAATCCACTTTTGGTTTGCCGCATGAAGGATAACATATCCTTCTCCACCTCACGACAGGCATGGCAACAATAGCGCAAGCCATTTTTGGCAGAAATTGCGTCAGCGATACGGCCCGTTAAGCTTAGACACTTAGCGTGAACGACCGCATCGAAAAGCCAGCAGTGAAGGCTGGGCTGATCTGCCAAAACCTCTGTTTGGCAGCCTTTAATATCGCAAATAAAATTTGAAACCATTTTCACAAACCTTTAACCACTGTGCGCTGATAAGCAGTACCGAAAAAAACAAGAGAGCGGGAGCGTAAGCGTGGGTGAGCAGAGAAAACAAACGAAAGCTTGAGCCGCTTAAGTGCCGCTAGAAGCAAATAAACGGGACAACACAAAGAGGGGATAAGAAAACGCAAAAACTAAAAGTGAATTAATTAGATATATATATTAATTAAACACTTAAAGACACATGCACTCGCGTAGCAGAACGGCAAAGTTTAAAAATGGTAGTTTAACAATATAAACAGAACCCCGGTGGTTTTAAATGTCTAAGAAACACAAAAAATTCGGAGCGCAAAACAAAAACACGACCGTTCGCTATGAAAGTCAAAAGCTTGGTGTATGTGTTACCGAATCGCAGTTCGGTTGTCATGTAGTCTGTGTCTACTGTCGTCCGATAGTTTATCTCGTTTAGAATCTTGCAGTGTCCGGTGTGGTAGTCTTTCCAGCTTTGGCTAGCCTTTAGTCGTACCGCACTTTGTGCTGCAGTGTTCCTGATAAAATGCTCTATCGGTATTATGTTCAGGATGGCGTTCAGCGCCGCTGCGAGGCATGATCTCAGTGCTCCCGTGGCTCCTGCGCATGCCGATCTCTGTATCCTTGTTAGTTTCTGGACGTTGTATGCCCTAGTTAATGCTGGCCACCATACTAGTGCTCCGTATGTGAGTATGGGTCTTACCACCGCTGTGTAAAGCATCTTCCTGCAGGAATAGAATGCTATGCTTGCTTTCTTGACTCTCTCGTTGATGTTTTGTTTCCATGAGAGTTTCGCATCCAGTGTCACTCCCAGATACTTTGCCTGCTGTGATATCTCTAGTTCTATGCCATCTATCTTTGGCTTTGTGAATCTTGGGACCTTAGTTCTCCTAGTGAAGAGCATTAGTTCCGTTTTACTTGGATTTATGCCCAATCCGCAGGCTTTTGCCCATCGCTGATGACGTCGGGGAATGGTCCTGAAGTGAGTAGGACTACGTCGTCTGCGTATGCTACCACTTTTACTCCTTCGCTATTTAGTGTTCTTAGTATGTCGTCCATGTTTATCAGCCAGAGCAGTGGGGACAGGACTCCCCCCTGAGGCGTGCCCTTCTTCACAAATCTTGTGTGATGAGTGCCACTCAGTTCGGCTGTTATCCTCCTGCTCGTCAGCATTGCGCCAATCCATGCCCTGATGCCTCCTTCTACTCCTATACCGTTGAGGGAGCTCAGGATGGAATCCGCATTTACGTTATTAAAGGCTCCTTCTATGTCCAGGAAGGTGGCCATGGCGTAGTTTTAAAAGGTAGAGCCTTTTCTATGTATAGCACTACCTCGTGTAGTGCTGTTTCAGTGGATCGGCCTTTCCTGTACGCATGTTGCGCATTGGAAAGGTTTTTCTCCGTTCTTTCTCTGATGTGGATATCAATGATCCTTTCCAGTGTTTTCATTAGAAAAGAGGTAAGGCTTATCGGCCTATAATCCTTGGCTTGGATGTGTCCCCTTCCTCCTGGTTTCGGTATGAAGACTACCCTCGCTTCCATCCATGGAAGTGGTATGTGTGCTGTTTTAATGCATGCCTGGAAGATTGCTTGCAGCCATTTTCACGTGCTTGCTTTTGTTGTATGTAGCATTGCTGGTATGATTCCGTCCGGACCCGGGCTTTTGTATTTGTCGAAGGAATCTATCGCCCAATGGATTCTTTCCATGGTGATGATCTCTTCTATTTGTAACTGCTGGTCTGCCCCCTGGCTTTCCATAATTCTAGGTTCTTCTTTTTGGTTTCCTGGGAAGTGCGTATTCAGCAGGATTTCCAGTGACTCTTCAGCTGACGTACTTCCTGTCCCGTCGGGTTTATTTATGAGCGTGGGGCTTGTGTGTCCTCTCGATAGGATTTTACTTAGCCTCGCCGTGTCTTAGACTCCTTCAAGCGATTCACAGTAGCTGCTTCAAGATTCCTTCTTGGCTACGTAGATTGCCTTTTTGTATTCTTTGTGTATTGCTTTGTACGGCTGCCAGTCTTTGGTTCCGTAACTAGTGTTGAAGGCTTTTCGAACTTTCTTTCTGAGCTCGCATAGCTCTTTGTTCCACTATGGTGGGTATGTCTTCTTAGAGTATGTTAGTCTGCATGACTCTGTGTAGGCTTTGTTCAGAATATTTGTGAAGTCCTCTACTTCCTTATCTATTCTCTCCGTGGTGGATCGAGTCTTGATCTTTCTGTCTTTGACCTTTGACTGTACAATCATTCCGTATTTGTCCCAGTCAGTGTTACGAGGGTTTCGCTTCGGCGCCGTTTCACATATTGGCATCACAATTTCGAAGAATATGTACCTGTGGTCTGAAAACGAGTCTTGTGTAGAGACTCTCCAGTTTCTTACCTTATAATCGCTATGCTCCATTTGGAGGGTTATGTCTAGGACTTCTTCCCAGCCCTGAAATCCTTCCGTACTTGGAAAGATGAAGGTGGGCGTGTTTCCCTTGTTACAAATAGTGACGTCACGGCATATAATACTATCGAAGAGAGACTCACCCCTTTCGTTTGTCTCCCTACTTCCCCACAGTGTGTGCCTTGCGTTGGCATAGCACCCGAGGATGAGCGTCGACTTAGTCTCCTCGGCCCACTGCATCACCCTATTAAACGCTTTAGGTTTTTTTTTTTTTTTTTTTTTTTAAATTCGTTTATTTTGGAAAAGAATAAATACAATAGTGGGGGATAGAAGGGTTGGGTCACACAAGTATCGGGACGGTTAGCTCGCGCGGTACGGCCGCGATGCAATGCTTCGCGCGGGCGTTGATCCCGACCTATGTTGCCTCGCTGTATCTACGTCTCTCCTCCGCTCGGAGCTCCGTAATTACTTTCGCTGCGAAGTCCGACACGGCCTGCCAGTTCTCTTCGGACATTAGCATCAGTGGAACCAACGTTTCCACTGAGATGGTGCTTCTCAGCCTGGCCTCCAGCGTATCTCGTTCACCGGCAAATCTCACACAGCTAAAAACTGAAGGTTCTGCCGTCTCCTCCAACTGTCCTTGACAGTGCGTGCAGTTATCAGCTTCCTCATGGCCGAATCTCCGCAAGTAGTTCCGGAAGCAGCCGTGGCCGCTGAGGATCTGGGTCAGGTGGAAATTTACCTGGCCGTGCTTCCTCTTCAGCCAGCAGCCCAGGTGGGGAATCAGGCGACACGTCCATCTTCCCTTGGACGTTGACTCCCATCGCATTTGCCACGCTGCAGATGTGGCGTCTTTCGCCGCGGAGCGAAACACCTGTTTCTCACGATGCGTCAGCGTCCTGCCGTTTGACTGGCCGTAGATACTGGCCCTCTCCGTTGCCAGCAGGTCAAGCGGTGGAGTCCCAGCTCGGACCAACGCAGCCTGGTCGGACACCGTCCTAAAGGCGCTGCAGATTCAAAGTGCCGCGAGGCGATGAGCCGAGTTCATACCGCGACTATAGGCCGGGGTCGTTAGTGCATGCCCCCACACTGGTGCCGCATAGAGCATGCTGGCTCTAGCTACGCTGGACAGCAGCAGCCTGCTCGCCTGCTTCGGACCCCTGTGGTTCAGCATTAATCTGCCGACTGCTCTCACCGCTGTGGTGGCCTTTGTGCTAGCAAACATTAGGTGCTCGCGGAAGGATAGCCTCGTATCGATCATCACGCCCAGGTATTAAATGGCTCTGGACGATCTGATCGGGGCCCCGCACACCCGGATGGTTGCGACCTCCACCTTCTTCCTGCTGCTCACCAGCACTGCTTCCGTTTTCTGTGGCGCTAGTTGTAGGCCAACACTAGACAGCCACGAGTTTATGCGGCTGATGCTCCTGTCGCACAGTTCTTCAGCTCCTGCGAGATATTTGTCGACTGCGACTACTGCTACGTCGTCGGCGAAGCCCACCAGCTCGGTCCGACCTGGGAGCGGGAGACGCAGAACACCATCGTACATGGCGTTCCACAACAGTGGTGCCAGGACCGACCCTTGCGGAACTCCGCAGGAAAGCTCTGTGGATCTGACGCCGCCATCGGAGTCGTACACCAGGGTTCTGCCTCTAAAGTAGCTCTTCAGCAACTCCAGGAGATACGGGGGTACCCCGAAGCTGGATAGAGCATCCAGTATACATCCCCATCTCGCCGTATTGAAGGCGTTACGGATGTCGAGCGTGGCTATCAGGCAGTACTCCTTCGCGCCTCCTTTCCACCGATTCCCCGCAATGGCTGCTTTTGCGATGCCCATCACTTTGGAGATGGCATCCACCGTCGACTTAGCCTTCCTGAAACCGAACTGTGAGTCGGATAGATCGCCGGCTGCGGCAATGGCCTTCTTAAGTCTCGTCCGGATCAGTTGCTCCAGAACCTTGCCCGCCCCATCAATCAGGCAGATTGGTCTGTAGGCGGATGGGTCTTCCGGTGGCTTTCCTGGTTTCGGGAGCAGGACCAGCCTCTGGACCTTCCATCTCCCAGGAAATATACCTTCCCTAAGGCACCTTCCATAAAGGTCCGCGAATAAGTCCGGGCGAAGCGAGAGAGCAAGTCTCAGGGCTCTGTTGGGAACCAGGTCAGGGCCAGGGCCTTTCGCCTCCCTGATTCTCGTCGCCGCCGCCAGGATTTCCGACTCCAGGACTGGCTCGAACCCTTCCAGCGAGTGAGTCGCAGTCTCCAGCGTGTCTCTGGGGTTATCCGTCTTCGGGAACAGATGTTCGACTATCCTGTCGATGCTCTCCGCGTCATGCGGGGCGCCCTGCTTTGCCCCATGAATCTTTTTGACGATGATCCTATAGGCGTTTCCCCAGGGATCGTGGTCCGCGGTGTCGCAAAGATCTAGGAAGCATTTGGTTTTGCTTGCCCGGTTAGCCGCCTTGAGAGCCTTGCGGCATCTATGGAACTCTAACCGCCTCTCCAGGTGGGAGCTCGAGCGGTAAGAGCGCTGATACCGGCGCCTCGCCTTGATGCACTCCGTTCTGGCCGCGGCGATCGTCTCGTTCCACCAGTACACAGAGTCCCTGTGACAAGAGTGGGCGCGCTTGGCAGTCATGCAGTCGTCGCATGCGGCCTGCAATTGGATCATGGCAGATTCCGCCATCTGCTCTGCAGAGCCATTGGTAGCAACCAACCTCTGCATATGCTCCGCGAAGGATTGGATGTCCAAAGTATCGGCCTTGTAACCCCTACGCGCTTGGGGGGGGCAGTGGTGTGGGTTGCGCTCGCTCTGAATCCAGCGCGGTGAGGATCTCCGCGTGGTCGCTCCCCGTATATACATCGCTCACCCAGAGAATGTTGCCACCTGGCCTCCACTTGCGAGGGAGCGGATGCTCTTAAGTGTAACGGAGCCTGATGGAAGATTAGCCTGTGAGGCGAGCTCTGCCGTAAGCTCCTCCCTGGTTACCAGCTCGTCCAGGTCCCGGATTAGGAATGTGGTCTGCGGTGATACAGTGCGGATCGGCAAACTTCCGCCTATCAAACTCCCAATCTGCTCCTTCAGAGCGGTAAGGGAAGCTTCAGAGGACTTTTTCAGCTCGATTAAGAGCTCGCCCTTCGCCGTTTTCCGTACTCTGGTCACCTTGTCGCCGACTCCTGTCATTCTGGAGTCATGGGTGCGCGTGACCATGTTAAGGACCTCGCTATAGGACATCTCTGCCGCGGGGGTTATGATGATCGCATCATTTCTGCCCCGCTTTCGGCCCTCTCGACGCAAGGTCGCGGCCCTTGTCTTCGGACCGGGATCGCAATCGACCAGCTTCTGCGCTCTTTCGGCGTTTTGGGTGGGAACCCTGGGTGGAAGGCGCGCGTTCGTACGGCCGATGGGGGCCGTACCGGGGTTACGGCTGGCGGGACGGGGACGACCTTTGGGAGAAGTCTGAGCAGCTTTCTCCAACGTGGGCCGGGCCCGGGTCGTCGGTGGCGCGGTCTGGCTCCACTGGTCAACAACTCCGATGGCAACGCCATCATCCCTATCATTCCCCTCTAGCAGCGAAATCTCCTCCTGGAGCTCCTTTAGTCGCGCAAAGGCATTCTTCATGACCTGGTTTATGCTTCGGACTTTCTGCTCGTTAACCTTGGCTAACAAGTCGTCCAGGATCTGACCCATCTCCTTAATCTGCGGATTGGGCGCCTTGATCTTCTTCCGTGGGTGGGCCGTCACAGGGGGGCTAGGGGAGTCTCTTACTCTCTTGGTGTGTGGGGTCGACGAACTCGTCTCCCGACCGATTGGATCCAGGACTATCTCAGAGTCTTGGCCAGACGCCGTAGGGCCGCCGCTAGGTGGAGTTCGCTGTAGCGTGGACCGCCTTTGGTAGGGCTCCCAAGTCGTTTCCATCTTCACTTGTCGCTGATAAAAGAGCACCGACCAAGTGGGCCGCCGGAGCTGCAGTGTGTGTTGGAATGTGGATTAGGGCCTCCAGAATCCGTGCCCTAGCCGCGGGATCAACCGCGGGTGGATTTCCACATTTGTGGCTGCCACCTGGAGTAGTATTGTTATTACTCGACATCCCTTTTGCGCATTATTGCCCAATGCGGGGCTGCATTTTATACCTTCTGCCAGGTGGGTAATAAACTGCCGGCCACTATGGCTCAGACGCAGACCAAGTAGCCGCCCAATGTGGGTCAGACGCTACCTGGGTTTGGGTTAGTGTGCAGCTGATGCCTGCTGCCAGGTTAGTTCCACTGCCGGCCACTATGGCGCAGACGCAGATCACACAGCCGCCCAGTATGGGCAGACGCTGCGTGGATTTAGTCGAATGAGTGTGGCGGTCGCTTCCACCAGGTCGGGACGACACGGAGCCTCCCTCGCTGGTCGAATATTTCCCTCCGACTTCTTACTGTTGGGGGTTATACCGCCCCGCCTCGGTCGCCAAAGCCCCTTTTAGGTGTACCGCCAGGGAGGAGGGGATGGCAGTCGGTCAGATCCGTGACCTTTTCCACCATTTGGCAACGTGTGCGAACCTCAATTCCGACGGAACATAACCAAATTCCGACTCCTTGCCAAGGACTTCAGGCAGCAGCCCGGGAATGTGTGCTACGGATTTCCGTAGCGATCGTTTGTTGAAGCTTGTAGCAAGCAGCTTCTGTCACGTGCCAGGGTTTTATACACCATAGGTGGCGCTAATGTGCGCATGTAGAGTGCATCGGCGCTGCAGTGCTGCCACACAGCTGCATTGCGCTCGCTTCACTACACTGCTCGCCAGCTGTTCGAGCAACCAGCTGGCGTGACCGGCACAAATATGTGGAGGCATCCACATTTTGGACCACAAAGAGAGGGCGGCATCGAAAGAGATGAAAGAGAAAGTTTCTAAAGAAAAGATCCCCCCTTACCCCTGGCCGTCGACCATCTCACCGGAGCATTGGGGCACAGAAAGTGCCCTCCGCGGGCCGCAGGAGCCGTGCCTCGACAGGTAAGTCTGGAGACAGCCCTCATCCTGCATCCCACGCACTGCTACCACTTTTTTCCCCTAGGGGCACTGCCACAGCACGAGACTTAGCCGGAGCACCCGCGCGGGCGTCCGTTCACCGCGATTTTCTCACACTCACCTAAACGCTTTAGGTGGTGCAGGTTCGTCGTGGGCCATATATCCGGAGGCTATTAGTATGGCTGTCCCATCCGCCGCCTTGAATCTTGCCACTGCTAGATCTAAGTTGCTGAGATTGGGGTAGAGAAGAGCATTAACGTTGTTTTTAATGATTATACCCGCCCTCGGCCTACCTGTCGAGTTTGTGTATAATGTTGTGTATCCCTTTATGGCCATGCCAGAGATTCGTCCGTCCCTTGTCCATGGCTCTTGTATAAGGCCGATGTCGATGTCCTTCTCCCGGAGAAGGACCCCCAGATTAGCTGAAGCGTGGGAGCTGCGCTTCAGGTTTATCTGAACGACCGTCGGCATTAGATTGGTGTGGTGTTGGGGGTGCTGTCGTCGATCGCCAAATCGTTCGTCTAGGAAGACCTTCACCTTGGCTTTCCTGATGCCGTACCGGACTTTGTTTTCTGCTGCCTTCAGCTGTTCTAGGCAGCGCTGGTTGATCAGGAACAGATATGGCTGGCTGGACTTCATTTCTCGTTCAGCATTAAGAATGGCCCAGTCCTCCATGTCGACTCCCTTGTTCATCGCTCGCAGAGTCTTGAGCACCCTTTCATTCACGCTAATTTTTTCGCCGTCTTGACATAAGTGGTCGGTCTTGGTGCGCCCTTTGCGTCTTTGGCTCTCTTCGGAGCGCTTTCGCTCACTTCTTGTGAGCGGTTGCGCTTCGTTTGGGGAGGCAAAAGCGTTTCTGGGTGCTCCTTTTCGTATCGCTCATACTCCTCGATCACTGCGAGGTACCTAGCTTTGTCTGCTAGGTCGCGCGGATCGGCTTTGCCCTCCTTTTCATTCCTTGCTATTTTGCCGAGGATGAAATGGGCCTTGCTTGCTTGCGCCTTTCGTTGTTGGTGGGTCCACGGTTTTGTCTTCCCGTGTTCGCCCGTCGCTTTGGCTTGGCTTGCCGCTGCTTTGCTTGTCGTTAGTTGTGTCGCTTGAGGTGTGCTGGTCTTAGCACTTCCCTCTGAGTCTCTGAGTCTCATCATCTGAGCACAGTAGCTCCCCCTCGTCCAATTCACTCTCAGTCGCCGGTTGTTGGGGTTTTAACTCCCCCACGAGGTCCAAAGCGGATTTTTTGGTTGAGTTCATGTTC